AGGCAGAGTCAGGCATAGCGGACCAAGTCAGCAGCGGCATAGTTGCTTTGAGTGGTCCTTTGGACATCAGCGCAGCACCATAGCTGCTTGGGTTGTCCTTTGGACATCAGCACAGCACCCTAGCTGCTTGGGGTAGTCCGCCATAGCCTATGCATGAGAGAGGAGGCTGAAGGAGGGAAGCCATAGCTATGGTGGACTGGTTGTTGTTGTTGTTGTTGTTGTTGAGTTGAGTCAGCAGTAAGTGGGAACTTCGGATATTGATTCTGGTTCATCCATTCATTGTTATTATTATTATTGAGAGAAGAATAAGATTGGTGAAGAGGAGGAGGAGGAAGGTGGAGAGAGAAGGGGGAGTTGTCATTGGTCTTGCTGGTGTACTTCTTCTTCTTCTTCTTCTTCTTTACCTCTCCTCTGGTCTTTGTCTCTTTGCAAGTGCTTTCATTTCTTTCGCAATTGGGTGGCATTGTCTTTCATTGTGAATTTGCACTTGGGAAATGACCAGGATCGTAACAATTGGTATCGGAGCGGGCTTACTTGCTGGCGAGAGGTGTTAGTCACCCTAAACCTAATTCCGAGTTAGGTCAGGGCTAACCTAATCTCGGATTACGGTTGGAAGTTAGGGTTAAGTGGGGCAGTGAGGTATGGGGATACTGCCCCCACCTGGTCGACATTTGACCTGACCAGGTTGACTGAGTGAATGGATGGGGTGGCGAGACACAAAGGAGGCTGATTGGAGTAAGCGAGAGGGAGTAGAGAGTGAGAGGTACTCGCACCTGGAATCTGCACTGCAAGAAGACATTGAGTGACTTTTGGGCTTCCCCTCAAGAGGGAGACTTGATCGGAGGCTGCCATATCTGCATCGGATTGCTGCAAATTGCTACTTTGGTCTTCAGATATCGACGGGGGATCCGGCTTTGCAACAGGGGTGTAGGAAGGCCCTCTTAGTCATGCTAGGACACTTCGTGTAGTGGTAGCTAGGGGTCAGGAGGACTTATGAGAGAGGGGGGTGACTCGTTATCCATCTTTGGAGGCCGGGCCTCACAGGTAAGTGTCGTGTGACCTGGTTATGCCCGTGGGAGGTTGCTTGGTACTTCATGGCCTGTTGGGGCCGTGCTGGGCTCTCTTCCTCTTCTCTGCGGTCTTGGTTGTGTGTGTGAGCATGTGGATTGCTTTCTCACCTGATGGATGAATGAATGATGTATCTATTCTAAATGACATATCTTTCTACGATGCATTGTCTTTTCATTTTTGAACGGCTGTAGGGGTAAGTTCTTGCTGAAAGTTGTCTTTTCCTTTTCAGTACGGTAGAGGCAGTTTGGGACCGACTTGGTACCCCTATCACGTTGGTCCTGGTCCACGACCTACTTGGGACCCAGTGGGACCAGGCCCAACGGGACAGGACCTTTTGGGCCCAAATCTGTTGCCGCCTGTGCATTTCTTTGCTGCGTCGAACTTGGGGGACATACGGCTAGCAAGGGCATTCCTTTCAAGGGGATCTTGACTGGTCTTACCGCCTGTTATCACATACTGCCCCGCGTCTGACTCGGCGACCGTCTGCCCCCCTCGAAATCTCCATTGCTGCAGTTAGTTTTCTTCGGCTGATTTATTGTGATGCATGTCCCTTGTCAGGTTAGACAAGAGGGGATCTCTAGCTGATCTGATCGGGGCGTTCTATAAATCAGTCCTCTTCTGTTTTATTATTTTTCTTTTATTTATTTATTCTTCTGCTGCGTGCCATTCTCTAAGTCCAAATGATTTGCCGCTCCGGTTAGGAGTTCTACCTCTTCTCTGTGTGACATTCTGCTTGTTTCTTTCATCTGAACTATCTATGTCCGGTATCGAGATGCGTGCGCAGACAGCGAGAAGAGAAGAAAGGGAGAGAGAAGGTGTTCTGTTTGAGAGTGTGAGGAGGGGCAAGAGGAGTGTTCGTCCAAACATAAGGAGAGAGCGGACCCCTCTTGAGAGATCTACTGACACCCCTTCCTTCGGGATGGCAAACATCACATCTGCCCGATGGCAGGCCATGCTGGATGCAGCAGAGGAGAACGAGAGACCGCTCTTCCAGAAGCTTTATGATGATGCCGTGCAGAGGGAAAGGGAGGCAGCGGCAGCAGCTAGAGCCGCCAACATTGCTGATCAGGTGGCCCTCCTTCGGATCCCGGAAGCCAATACTGACCGGTTCCAGGAGGGACTAGCTGCTGCCGTAGCAGCCTTGGTTCGACTGCGGACCTTGGAAGACCTTGAGTCCCGTGTGACAACACTAGAGCAGCAAAACCAAGAGTTGCAGGCTGAGCTACTCAGCCTCAAACAGTCCCAACTGTCTGCCCCCCGCCCTCCTAACCCTCGAACTGCTGCACTCCCAGTCTCTCAACCCAAGTGGAACTGTGACGAGTGCAGGATCCGGTGCCAGCTCCTCGAGCGGCAACGCCGGCAGTTCTGCACTAGTCATAGTCCCAAATGCGAGGACATCAGCCCAAAACGCCACAGTCCCTACTGGCGTTCAGTACAGCGGTCCCACGGTGGACAAGCGGGCGGCCACTCTGCCGTCCAAGTACGACGGGAAGGCAGACATTACCTCTTGGATTAGTTCCATGCGGTCATACTTCGAGGTTATGCCGACACCGCAGGAGGACCAAAGTATGATCATGGGGACTAATACTGAGCCCGCCGTACGGAATCACATTGAGCTCCAAGCTGTTGCTGCAGACTATGATCGAATAGACCTGACTGAATGGCTGAAGGTAACCCCAGTACGCACCCTTGAGGACCTTCTCCTCGCACGGTACCAAGACAAGCATGTTGCGCTCAAGGCTAGGTTGAAGCTTCAGGCCCTCAAAGGTCAAACATGGAGGTCCTCCATGCAAGCTTTGGAACAACACTTGATTGGTCTGTTCACCACTCCAGATTTGGGAATGACTGACGTATCTTGTATGGATGTAGTCATGGGAGTGGCCCCTAAAGAATACCTCTCCCTGTTGGCACTCAAAGACCATACCACCTGGCGAGAGCTCATGACGGATCTAGTCAACCTAGAGGCCAAGGACCTCGCCAGGCAGAAGAAGGTGCCCGCTGCAGGTGGGAAACCACAACGCAAGCGGTTTGGAAGCAGCAACCAGCTTGCACTGCATGATCATCGGGAGGCTGAAGATCAGTCCTATGCGGATGATCTGTCTCTAGATGACGATCTAGAGCCGGACTCCGATATGGGCTGTTCCACATCATCCATTGAGTCTGACGTCGACAAAGATGAAAAACTGAATGCTTTTAGAAAGACTGCTTCAAACAAGGGGCCCAACCGTGGTTCGGGTAAGGGAACTGTTGTCCACCTCCCCAAGAACGCAAAGATCCCTGAGAAACCGGAGGATGCATCAACCAAGCCTTGGGAAGCCCTCCGTATCAGTCAAAAGGAATGGGAAAAAAGATCTAAACTGCGCATATGCCTGCATTGTCAAAAGCCTGGGCATGCTGTGCAGGACTGTTTTTGACTGCAGGGAAACAAGCAAAGGGCGTAGAGGAGTCATCGGCACTCCCTACAACAAGGGAAGCTGAAACATCAGTTGCAGGCCCCTCCGATGAGCCTGAATCTGATCAACAGCCCACTCTTGAAGCCCAGAACGACGCTGAATCCAAGGCTGCTGCAATTCATGTGCTTTACACTGAGCCTTGGGAGGAGTCTAAGGAAGTTGACTTCCACACTTACATGGAACACTGACTGCAACTCAAGCAGCAACGACGTGTTCAAGGGAGTGTGGAGCTAACCTTCTTTAAACTGCTCATTAACCGCCGTTACATCCGCGTGCTGATTGATAGTGGTTCAACCACTAATTTCTTCTCTCCTAATGGGATTCGTAAGGAGGGCCTGGGAATGAAGCAAGTGGAATTGCAGAACCCTTGTCAGACCCAGGTGGGCAACCAAGAGGTTGCCACCTCTACACATGCTGTCAAAGGTGTGCGCGTCACCTTTGACAAGGACCGCACTATCACACATGAGCTCAACTTCTATGTCATGGACAAGTGTCCGTTCGACGCGGTCATTGGCTTGGGCTGGTTAAAAGCTCATTGCCTAAAGACCACATGGGCGGACAATCAGTTCGTGGTGCGTGATGCCAAGGGGAACGAGCGTACCGTCCTATTGGATGAGACGCGCGAGTCCCCTGTGACTGTTCTAAGTGCGAACAAATTCTGCAAATCAATGCGCAGGCGCAAGGAGGTTGGGCATGTACATATACCCCTTGTAAAACCTCTCCATGTGCCTTCTACTTTTGCTGCATTTTTTACCTCGGTAAGTAACTCTACTTCTACCACCTCTACTTCTAATCCATCTACTTCTACTGTGAATAATCCTTCTACTTCTAATCCGATTGTCATTGCTGTAAATTCTCAGTCTAATTTTCTTTCTCCTCATGAGGATGATCCTCCACCGGAAGTCCCAACAAATGTTCGCCAGCTATTAGATCCATTCCCTGAAGTTTTGGCCGAACCTCGTGGAATTCCCGAGCGTCCGGTCAAACACAAAATCGAGATAATAGAGGGGAGTGTTCCTCCAAAGTGCTGCGTCTACCGTATGGGACAAGGCGAGTTGGAGGAGTTGAGAAGGCAGATTGATGGTATGATTGACCGTGGATGGATTAGGCCCAGTGAGTCTGAGTTTGGTGCACCTGTCCTGTTTGTGCCAAAGAAAGGAGGCAAACTCCGGATGTGTATTGACTATCGTGGCCTTAATCGGAGCACCAGAAATAATGCTTACCCTTTGCCTCACATAGATGATTTGCTAGATGCGGCAGGTGGGTGCAAGGTCTTCTCCAAGATCGACCTCAAATCTGGTTACCACCAAATTGAAGTTGATCCAAGTGACCAGCACAAGACTGCATTCAAAACACGCGACGGGCTGTACGAGTTCATCGTTATGCCCTTCAGTCTTACGAATGCACCGGCCACCTTTCAGAGCCTCATGGACAAGGTACTTCGCCATCAACTCAACAGATTTGTGGTTGTGTACCTTGACGATATCCTGATCTTCAGCAAAACCATGGACGAGCACCTCAAGCACCTTGAGGAAGTTTTGCAGGTCCTCAAGGAGGCGCAACTGCACCTCAACTTAGAGAAATTTGAGTTTGGGAGGGACAGCGTCATCTATCTTGGGCATCGGTTGTCTGCAAACGGCCTTGAGCCGAAGGCAACCAAGGTTGAGGTAATTCGAAACTGTCCTCAACCGGCAAACGTACGCGAACTGCGTTCTTTCCTTGGTCTGGTCTCATATTACCGGAAGTTTGTGCCCAAATTCTCTGTCATTGCTCACCCTCTCTCAAGACTAACCTGCAAGAATGTTGCCTATGCATGGTGTGAGAAGTGTGAGACTGCGGTCCAAGCCTTGAAAGAGGCATTGGTGAGTCATCCTGTGCTTCGCATTGCAGATCCCAACCTCACTTTCGTAGTCACTACTGATGCGAGCCAGTTCGGGATCGGTGCAGTGCTTCAACAAGACGATGGTGATGGCCTGCGTCCGCTCGAGTACTACAGCAAACGCATGCCCAACCACAAGGTAGCTACTTCCATGTATATGTGTGAGCTCTACGCCCTGCGCGAAGCTCTCGCACATTGGAAGCACTACCTCTTGGTTCGCCACTTCAAGGTCTACTCAGATCATCAGACCTTGCAGTGGATTCAGACACAATCTGAACTCTCTCCTACATTGACCCGCTGGTTGCATGACATTGATGTCTACAACTTTGAATTGAAACACAAGAAAGGCTGTTATAACCGGGTTGCTGATGCGCTGTCTCGCCATCCTGAATTCTTGACTTGCCTCGTGGGTTCGTATGACCTCCAAAGGAAACTGAAGGAGGATCTGGTCGAACACACCGCCAAGGATCAGGGCCTTAATCCCATCCTTGAGCAGCTCAAGGCTGACCCTAACAGTCAACCTGATTTTCATGAGTGCAAGGGTCTTGTATTCCGCCGGTATGGGAAGTTTGATCGCTTGTGTGTACCCAAACATGCGCCTCTCCGAACGCATTTCTTGGATCTTGCACATGGTCGGAGTGGACATTTCGGGTTTGAGAAGACCTATGGAACTCTTCTGCAACAGTTTGATTGGCCAGGAATGAAAGGATCTGCTCAGAAATTTATTGCGGAATGTCAGGTATGTCAAAGAACCAAGGTCCACAGGCATAAGCCTTACGGCCTGGTGAGACCCCTCCCCATTCCTAATGGACCCGGTGAGTCGATTTCCATCGACTTCACGGACATGGGAAAGGTGAGTGAGGCAGGAAATTCACAAGTCATGGTCATCGTTGACCGCTTCTCCAAATTTCTGAACTTGATTCCTTTCCCTCCCCATGCCCCAACTGAACTGGTCATCGAAGAATTCCATCAGCAGAACATTCTGCAGTTTGGCGTCCCGAAAACTATTGTGAGTGATCGGGACACCAGATTCATCAACAAAGATTGGAAGGACTTTACCTCTCAAATCTATGACATTAAACTGAACAAGACTTCTGGTCGACACACCGAAGCCAATGGTTTGGCCGAGGAGATCAACCAGACTGTCCGCGCATTGATTGTTCCAAATCAGAACACGTGGGACAAAGAGCTGCACAAAGTGAAGGGACTGTATAACAACTCCATCCACTCGGCAATTGGCGTGACACCAAATCAGTTGCAATATGGATGGCCGATGCGTAATCCCCTCTCCTATCTGTTCCCTGAACGGTCACCTGGTCTAATGCCCGACATGCCTGGCTACAATGCCAAGTACGCACGCTTGCTCAAAGTTGTTATTGCAGCCATGAACAAGCGCCAGCATGCCATGATCAAACATGCTAACAAGTTGCGCAAAGAAGAAAAATCCAAAGTAGGGGATTATGTTCAGGTTAAAATGTCTGAGTTTTCTGATGAAGAGGGCATATCACGAAAACTCATTCCATTGTACTATGGCCCTTGGCAGATTCTGAAGGTGATTGGGGATGATTTTGGTCCTTCATATGTGATTGACGTGCCTCCTCATCTACGCACGTATCCGGTCTTTCATGCGTCCAAACTGTTTCAACATATTGATGATGAGACATTTCCCTTCCGAGACCCTATGATACCTATAGACAGAATCGTTTCTCGCGAGGGAAGAGGGAGAAATAGACAGTACAAGGTTCACTTCCTCTATCACCTGTTGACTGAGTTCTTCTGGATCGACCGAAAAGAGCTGCTAAAGAGTGCTCCCCGTGTTGTGAACGCTTATGAACGAAAGATCGTTGAGGGACAGACTGCTAAATTTGTTGCGACCATGACTCCTCACGGACTTACTAAGTCTCTCCTTCTGATTTACTCTTATGATGCATTTTGTGCCAACTCTGAACGAGTTACTCGCTCGAAGGGACCTCGCTCTTGAGAGGGGGGTAATGTAATGACTCGCCAAAAACACAGACTGAGAACACTGCTGATTTCTGGGATTTGCCGCTGGAATGAATGCCTTGCTGAAATTCCCGCATTCTGCTGTGATTTCCA